CAATTTAGTAGGAAGGTAGATAGAAAGGTAAAGACATTAAGTAGTAAAACGCAATAAGAGAAGGCAGGGCTAGCGCGCTCTAGAGCTAAGAAAACAATATTCTAGGTTAGCTAGCCGCTAACACTAAGTACAACAGGGTATATGTAGCTATAGAGGCACTAAATTTAACACTAGAGGCGCCTATTTTAAGTGCTTAATTTAGTAACTAATTCTAACTACAGGCGCCTAATTTTAGCCTTAATTTAAGCCTAAAATTTAGCTGCAGGTGTTAGATTTAGCTGTAAAGGCGCTCTTTTTTAGCTGCAGAGGCACTAATCTCTAGCTATAGAGGCGCCTATTTTAAGTGCTTAATTTAGTAACTAATTCTAACTGCAGGCGCCTAATTTTAGCCTTAATTTAAGCCTAAAATTTAGCTGTAGGCGTTGAAATTTAGCTGTAAGCGCTAAATTCTAGCTGCACGTAGGCTGTACTAGCAGCGAGCGCAGTAATTACGTAAAGAACTTTAAAATTTAGCTCTAAACTTCTCTACTCTATAACTTTACAACGTAAGCAGCTATTAACAAGCTAAGTGTAGCGTTAAATTCGCGCAGTAATTCTGCACAAAATAGCCTACTTAGATTTTGTCTAGGCTCTTAGGCGGTAAAGTTTAAAAGCCTTAGAGCTACTGCTTTAGGGCTACCCTCTATTTCTTATTAGTGCTTATCGCTCTTACTAAAATTTGCTTAGGGCTAGTAGCCCTAAGCACGTTCTCTAGAGTAGGCTTAGCATCTTGCTAAAAGAGCTGTACGTGCTGTTAACTAGGTACTGCTTTCTTACTTAGATAAAATACTCTCTGTCTTGCTTAGTCTACTACTAGCGATTAGTAGTAGAAAGTAGAATTTTAATAGCTAACACGCGTATATAGTACACTACTTCTGCTAGTATATAAAAGTAATTGTAGGCCTCTTATAGATAGTTAGTAGTCTTGTTAATATCTAAAATAGTAAGAAAGTAAATTAACCTACTACTAAAAGGCTTATCTCTAGTAATGTAAAATATAAACTCTTAAAATAGGCGCAGAAGATAGGTAATTTAAGAGGCTAGGCTATCTAGGTGTACAGCGCTAATAAAGTCTCTAGTAAGTTACTTTTAGCTGCTAGTCTAGAGGAATAGCTACTTTATATTGCGCATTTTGTCTCTATAGTGTAGTAAGAGACTAGTCTAACTATTAGTGTCTAAATCTAGTTTACTCTCTACACTAAGCTAAGTTTAAAATAAATTACTTCTACTACTATTAGCGCCTATCTCTTAGGCGTTATAGACACGTAGTAGGTAGTAGACAAAGCGTTTTATATACTTAGTATACTACTTCTAGCTTTCTAGGTTTTGTAGGCGTACTATTAGGCGTAGGTTAATTTACTTAGCGTTAGAGCTTTATAACTAGCGTCTGCTCTTAAGCCTAAGAGTAGAAAGCCTGCTAACTACCTATTTAATTACTTATTTAATAATAGCAGCTACCTAAGTAAGTAGCGTATTATCTTTATTAGGTATGCAGCTTGCCTAGTAAAGGTAGAGAAAATTACACTTAGTAAGATAAATTAGCTAGCGATTTCTCTTAAACTAGCTAGTGTAGTTAGTCTTTGTAACTATAGCGTTAGCTATAGTAAGTAACTCTATATACTTTGCCTATAAACTTTAAATTTCTTATAATATAAGTAAAATTTCGCTAGAAAGAGTGCTACTTTTGCCTTTAGTAATAGGCTATACTTTAAAGTATTTCTAAAAGCTACTAGTGTAGAAGAATATCTGCGCTTAAATATAAGCCTAAGGCTTCTAGTCTTAGAGGCTAGTTCTCTAGTTATAGGCCTTATTGTAATAGCGCTAAATCTTATTATAGTTCTTAGTAATAAATTTATAGCCTGCACAGGTGCAAGAGTAAGCTAGAATTAGAGCGCCTAGAAGTAGTATTAGTAGTTAATTTAGTAGTAGAAGAGTAATATCTCTTAGGTTAGTAAGTAGAAGAGTACTAATCTAATAGCGTTTATCTAGCGCTTACTACTCTTTCTTCTTAACTTAGTAAGACTTCTTAAGATACCTAGTCTAACTATAGATAGCGCTATAGTCTTTGCAGATAAAAACTTAGTATACTAGTAGATAGCTTAAGTAGTTGCCTAGAGTTTAAATTTTAGGCGCTAAGCCTTAGAGCTAGTAGGTAGGTAGAGCTATTATAGGTGTTGTAGGTAGAGTGTTAGTCTAAAGACTAGCGTAAGCGCTAGTTATAAGGCAGCTAAGAAGCAGAGTCTTTAGCTACGTAATTACTTCTATAATACCTGCACTATAGGCTACACTTTGCAAATTTAACAGCGCTTCTTATTTATTAAAGAGTAGAGGCTATAACTCTATAGTAATAGAAGAGAGAAGATTAATATAAAAGGCAGCGTTATAAGCCTAAAGCATAAAGAAAGCTAATTACTAATTAACCTATCTAACTTAGATAGGCTAGTAGAGCGTAAATAAACAGCCTTATTAATAATATTATAGGCTCTATGTACTATCTTATAGTAGAAGTTAACCTGCTTCTAGTACCTCTTGCTATTTCTACGTGCGCTCTGCACCTTATTACAGTATAATTTAACTTTACTCTTAGCCTTAGTTACACTAAATTTAACACTAGAGGCGCCTATTTTAAGTGCTTAATTTAGTAACTAGTTCTAACTGTAGGCGCCTAATTTTAGTCTTAATTTAAGTCTAAAATTTAGCTGCAGGCGTTAAAATTTAGCTATAGGCGTTAGATTTAGCTATAAAGGCGCTCTTTTTTAGCTATAGAGGCACTAATCTCTAGCTGTAGAGGCGCCTATTTTAAGTGCTTAATTTAGTAACTAGTTCTAACTATAGGCGCCTAATTTTAGCTTTAATTTAAGCCTAAAATTTAGCTATAGGCGTTAAAATTTAGCTATAGGCGTTAGATTTAGCTGTAAAGGCGCTCTTTTTTAGCTGCAGAGG